GCCAGTGAGGGCGAGGGAGGGGGCGAGGGAGGGGCCGCCAGTGAGGGCGAGGGAGGGGGCGAGGGAGGGGCCGCCAGTGAGGGAGGGCGAGGGAGGGGCCGTCAGTGAGGGCGAGGGAGGGAGCGAGAGAGGGGCTGCCAGTGAGGGCGAAGCCGCCAGTGAGTGACGGCGAGGGAGGGGCCGCCGGCGAGGGCGAGGGAGGGGCCCCCGGCGAGGGCGAGGCTGCCGGCGAGGGCGAGGGTGAGGAAGGGGCCACTGGCGAGGGCGAGGGTTGGTGGTGGGTAAGTTGGTGGAGGTGATTCTGAAAGACTGGATTTATACACATTGAGGGGCAGGGACTGATTGTGCACAGACAGCACAGCTTTGTGTGTGTGGGAAATCATGTCCCAAAACCTGATTGAGTTTTTTGAGGAAGTTACCAAAAAGATTGACAATGGCAGAGCAGTAGATGCTGTTTATTTGGATTATAGTGAAGCCTTTGACAAGGTTCCACATAGTAGACTAATTAGCAACGTTAGATCACATGGGATTCAGGGTGAGCTTAACCAATTGGATATTTAATTGGCTTAACGGTAGGAGAGAGAGAGGGTGGTGGTTGTTTTTTTGGACTGGAGGCCTGTGACCAGTGGTGTTCCACAGGTATCAGTACTAGGTCCTCTCTTGTTTGTCATTTATACAAATGATTGAGATGAGAGTATAGAAAGCGTGGTTAGTAAGTTTGCGAATTACACCAAGATTGGTGGTATAGTGGAAAATTTAGAAGGTTACCTGAGATTACAAAGAGATCTTGAACTGTTGAGGAGCAGCAGATGGAGTTTAGTTTGGGTAAGTATGAGTATTTCATTTTGGTAAAACAAAGGCAGGACTTACTCAATTAAAAGTCGGGCCCTGGGCTAGTCCTGGGGGTTCAGGTACATAATTCTTTGAAATTTGCTTCACAGGTAGACAGGGTGGTTAAGAAGACGTTTGGCACGCTTGCTCAGACCTTTGACTGTAGGAGTAGGGATGTGATGTTGAGGTTGGACAGGATGTTGGCAAGGCCTTTTCTGGAGCACTGTGAGCAGTTCTGGTCACTCTGCTACAGGAAGGATAGTATTAAGCTGGAGAGAGTCCAGAGAAGATTTACCAGGATGTTGCTGGGAATGGTTTGTGTGGAATGAACTTTCTGAGGAAGTGGTGGATGCAGGACAGTTACAGTGTTTAAAAGACATTTGAATATGTTCATGAACGTTTGAAGGGATATGGGCCAAGCACAGGCAGGTGGGATTAGTTTAGTTTGGGATGATGGGCCTTTAAGACCAAAGGGTCTGATTCCATGCTGTATGCCTCAATGTCATTGATGGGCTGGGCTGGGCCGGGCCGGGCCGGGCCGGGCCGGGGTGGGGTGGCAGGGGGGGGGGCGGGCCGGGGCGGGACAGTGGGAGCGTGGGGTGGGGCGAACTTGTGTTTTCAAATAAACCTGTTGGACTAGAACTTGGTGTTGTGTGATTTCTGACTTGGTGAGACAAAGCACAGAGTGACCACCTTGTGGAACACCCACACTCTCCCTGGAGGAACGATCCTGACCTCCCAGTTGCTTGCCATTTCAATAAACCACATTGCTCTGAGGTTAACATTTCTGTCCTGGGACAAAAACAGAAGTTGTTGGAAAAGCTCAGCAGGTCTGGCAGCATCTGTGAAGGAGAAAACAGAGTTAATGTTTCAGGTCCAGTGACCCTTCCTCAGAACTGACAACAGCATCAAAACCATCAGTTTCCAGGTCCCTTCAGTTCAGAAGTTCAGTCATCAGACCACAGGAAATAGGAACAGCAGGAGGCCATTCAGCCCCTTGAGCCTGCTCCACCATTCAACAGGATCAGGGCTGATCCGACATTCCTCATTTACACTTTCCTGCCTTTTCCGCAGAACCATTGATTCTCCTACTGATCAAAAAATTTATCTAGAAATACAATTATATCCCTGCCACAATATCTCTGTTTCCATTTCTGGGGATAGACTGGCCACTAATATCCATTACAAACTCACTGACTCCCACAGCTACCTGAACTACACATTGTCACACTCTGCTTCCTGTAAATACCCCATCCCATTCTCTCAGCTCCTCAGTATCCGTCATATATGTTCAGATGAGGCCAACTTCGACGAGGGAGCCTCCGAAATGTCCACCTTCTTCAACCGAGGATTCCCCAGCACCATTGTCGACAGGGCCCTCAACCGGGTCCGAACCATCTCCCGCACTTCCGCCCTCACCCTTCCTCTTCCCTCCCGCAACAGCAATAGGGTTCCCCTTGTCCATACCTACCATCCCACCAGCATCCACATCCAGAAGATCATCAGACGCCATTTCCACCATCTCCAGCAAGATGCCAGCACCAGACACATATTCCCCTCACCAACCTTCCACAGGGACTGTTCTCTGACTCACTCTGGTCCACAACTCCTCCGTTCCCATTGCCTCCCAACTGCCCCACGGCACCTTCCCTTGTTACACCTTCAGCAGTTACACCTTCCTGTTTATCTTCTCCCTGCCTCAGTATCCGCTTTCCAGAATACCTGTGTTCTGTCCGCAAAAATGACCCTGAGCTTCCAGTTGTTTGCAGGTTCAATACACCACTGCGCTCCCAGGCTAACATCTATATCTCAGTTTGCAGTGTTGCAACAAGTCTATTAGAAACACAGACAGCAGCAGGCCATTCAGTCCCTCGAGCCTGCTCCACCATCCAATAGGATCATGGCTGATCCAGCATTCCTCACACCCACTTTCCTGCCCTTTCCCTGTAACCCTTCATTCCCCGACTGATCAAGGATCTATCTCAGCCTTAAATATACACAAGGACTTTGCCCCCCACAACTCTCTCTGGCAAGGAGTTCCGAAGATACTCATCCCTCAGAGAGAAGAAATTCCTGCCCATCTCAGTCTTAAATTGCTGCCTCTTCCTTCTTAGATTCAATACTGGGCTCAAAACATTAACGCTTTCTCTCTCCATGGATGCTGCCAGACCTGCTGAGTTTCTCCAGCAATTTGTGGTTTTCTTTTAAACAGGAGATCAGAAATGATCTTGGTGGTGGCACAGATGTGTGACGGAAAGCTTGCCTCAAAGACAACACAAAGACTGTAGATGGTGTGGCTCTATCTCAGACAGTTGGCTGAGTGCAGGACAAAGTCAATGCCTAGGCAGCAGGGTCGGTAACACTAACCACTGATCTAACTGCTGTCAAGGGCTCGAGAGGCAGCGAGGTGCTGCTAGCATAGGCCTGGGCCATCTAGATGCACTGGTAATAAACAGTGTTGGCAAGGCTGTACAGTGATGGTAGTCGGGGGGTGGGGGGAGGCGGAGAGAGTCTCACAGATGGAGGAGAGGGTTGGGGGAGATATTGTGCTCACCGTGGGACACACTGCGGGGTGGGAAGGCCGGTCTGGGCGGGAGTGGGGAGGAGCAGGCTCTACACATTGAGACAATTCTCCCTCCCTCACGGGATGTGTACTGAGGTCCCAATAGGAAACGAGTTGTTTACCTGCAGCTGCATTACGACGTAATTAAACTTCTCATTCCGCCCACAGCCGATAAACCTGCACACGTGGTCCTTCCCTAAACAGCAAGGGTATAACAGCAGGAGTGATCAGAAACAGGGCTCATACACACGGCATCGTAGCTTTGGGGGGGGGACATAGCCAAAGCAACAAGTGTTTGAATCAATATACAGGCGGGTACACAGCGCCATACATCCACACCCACAGCACCTGCCTGCACACACACACTGCCATCTCACAAACCACTGCAATGATCACCCTCACACAGCTCCCCCACACCCGTGCGCGCACAAGCTGCCAGTCCCTGCCCCTTTCCCCCTCCCCACACCCATGCACACACACACTGCCTCCCCCTACCCCTTTCCCCCTCCCCACACCGTGCACACACACGCTGCCTCCCCTTTCCCCCTCCCCACACCCGTGCACACACACACTGCCTCCCCCTACCCCTTTCCCCCTCCCCACACCGTGCACACACATGCTGCCTCCCCCTGCCCCTTTCCCCCTCCCCACATCCGTGTAGACACACACTGCCTCCCTCTACCCCTTTCCCCCTCCCCACACCATGCATACAACACACAGCCACCCCCTCTCCCCCTCTGTACACCGTGCGCGCGCACACACACACACACAAATACACACACACACACCCCCTCCCCACCCAAGCATGCATCCAGACTCCCCACGTATATAGGCACACCCATACACACAGATGTCCCCCACATTGCATACACAGAGCGAACTCCTCCTCCTCCTCCCTCCCCAGCACCAGTGTGTGCCTACACACACCGAGACACACAAACCCCTGGCCCACACACTCTGGGATCTCCATTACCTTGGAGTTTCTTTAGGACTGCCACCTCCATCTTTAGCACCTGCTTGGGTTGCTGGGCAGACTCCACTTTCAGAGCAACATTCTCTCGGATTAACAAATCCGTTGCCTCATAAATCTCCCCAAATCCACCTCCACCAATCTTCTTCAGCTGAGCAGGAGAGCACAAACAGCAATCGTTTAACCAAGGTAACAGTTCAAGGTGAGACAGGATAGGGGACTAGCCGGGAGGTTCAATAGGTGCAGGGAGTCACTGATGGACCAGGACTGAAAGGGGGAAGAGACAGCTGCAGACTGTCTACAATAAGGCCCATTACACAATGTTCAGCACCATTCCTGACTCCTCAGATACTGAAGCAGTCCATGTCCAAATGCAACAGAGATCTGGACAATATCCAGGCTTGGAGTGCCAAGTGACATTCGCGCCACACAAATGCCAGGCTATGACCATCACCAATAAGAGACAATTTAACCACCGCCCCTTGACATTCAATGGTGTTACCATCAACATCTCTGGGGTTACCATTGACCAGAAACTCAACTGGACTCACCACATAAACACAGTGGGTACAAGAGCAGGCCAGAAGCTGGGAATACTGCAGTGAGTAACTCATCTCCTGACTCCCCAAAGCCTGTCCACCATCTACAAGGCACAAGTCAGGAGTGTGATGGAATACTCCCCACTTGCCTGGATGAGTGCAGCCCCAACAACACTCAAGAAGCTTTGACACCATCCAGGACAAAGCAGCCGCTTGATTGGCACCACATCCACAAACATTCACTCCCTCCACCACCGACGCTCAGTAGCAGCAGTGTGTACTATCTGCAAGATGCACTGGGAGGGAAAGGAGAATGGAGGATAGGGTCAGGGTGGGGTGTGGGGGGAGATGGGTGAGGGACCCAGGTGAATGGAAGCGGGGGGTGAACCCTTGGAACTCACCACCTTCCAGCGGTCTTTGACAACAAAGCCCACAGGCAAGATATCGACCTGCTCCCCTCCCCCACTCATCTTTGCCTCTTCCTGTGTAGGAGCTGCTAGGCACTGCATTGGTCAATCAGCCAGACCTCACAGAGACTCCATTCCAGTTGGTCCATTTACCTGTAAAAAAAAATCACACGCAGACAGCAATCATTCAGCTAGGTCAGAGTCAACAGGTAGTCTGTCTGACCCTGCACCTCCCTCTGGGACCCCTGCGCCTTCCCTTCCTCCACTCCCTCCCCCTCCCCCGGCCCCGGGGAACCCCGCGCCCTCCACCTCCCCCGGGGAACCCCGCGCCCTCCACCTCCCCCTCCCCCGGCTGCGGGGAACCCCGCGCCCTCCCCCTCCCC